TATCGAGACCTCGCTTGCCCTCTCCTTCTTAATGGCTTGTATGCCATAGCTTATCAGCACTCACACGTACAACGTGTTGAACCGGTCGACCAATATCAGCACTGAACCGTTAAGCTGTAAGCTTTACATGTTAGTACTTGTTTTGACTTGATGTTTTGTTTTTGTTTACCTATTCCATACCAGCAACAACAAAAACATTAATCAGTAACTCTGATAACAATTACCTTTATAGTAAATGAAGTCGATTCGGTCTTGAGGTTCGGGAATATTGAATTCCCACTCTGGTAGAAACTTGTTTACCGTTGACCAAGTGTACCCTAAAAATTAATGTTAGGCAATCTCCTATCAAAAAATAGCTGCGAGATGAACCTGGGACTGTAGTGACGTTTGGAAACACTTCTCGGAAGGAATCTTTTAGTCCCATGTTCTCGGCAATCTTTGTTGCAGGCCATTCCACCATCCAGTTTCCATGTTTTGTCCTAAAATCGGTTATTGAGGAACAAATTTCTTGACAAAGATTATTATCACCAGTCGCCATTAATTAACTTTGAGCCTTTAGAAATCAGAACTGTATGGAGCCACCTAAAATTCATCTGATTTCAAGGACCTGGGAGCCAACTGATGCTCAATTTATTGTACTTTCTTTCATTTAGTTGAACCAGATGGAATGAAAGTACGACTGGTAACAAAACCTATATGTAGAAAGGTGGTGGTGGTGTAGTGGCAAGTGGCGCAATATCCCCCAAAGCCAACTAAGCCTTCCATCCCCCAGAGGTCGGTTAATTGGTACCAGACTCGTCTGAGAGGATAAAAGCCCCAACTTAAACTGGCTGGCCACTGCAAGCCAGTTTAAGTTGGGGCTTTCTCTGACCTTCGTGTCCTTATTTGTAGTAGAATTATGGGAACAATCTATTCTGGGATGTAGTACAATTCTATTATAGAATCGTGTTAGAAAGCTAGTTTGAAGCGGTTTCTGACTTCAATGAGAGTGCGCGTGAGTGATTCGGCACAGTTCTGATTTACCTTACCCAGAACTGGTTTCGAAGGTTTCTTTTCTGATCGTATCTACAACAAAAATTATCGAAACATGGCTGTGAACGAACAAAAAAAAGATCTTCGAAGTGGTTTGTTTTGAAAGCATTTTCGCTTTTTTTTCTAAAAATTCATATGGTCACGATAGTCTAGTCATTATCGTCGTTTCCTTAGTTTATCGTTCAATAGACTGGTCCTTGTGGGTTGGGATTGTGTGCAAAGGGGTAACGGAACTTCTCCCCTATCGCGGCATACACCCTTGCGGCATGCGGCAAATG